AGCAGAGTAGACTAGAAATTGATCGACTTATAAATGCCCTGTTTACTGAATATTGCCAAAGATAATCATAGGGTAATTTGTTTTTAAGCATTAAAAACTGTTTACTAGAAAGTAATTCCAATACTTTACTATATAACCAAAATATTTTGTTATTCCAAAGAATCAGTTAGCGAGCAACTGCTTTATATATTGAATAGTACTAAAATAAAGTCTATTTAATTTGAGGTTCCAAATAGAAACCCTTACCTATGTCACTCTAAAATGTATATAGAAAGAATATACCTTTGACAGGCCTAGCATTTCTAGGGTATTAAGACCTTGCGTGCCAATGCGATATATCTGACTAAATCATAACGGTCGCTTTCTGTCACTGCCGCAAACCCTGTCAGAGGTGCCATAAAAAGCGACTTAGGGCAAACACCCCGCGCCGACAGCAATCCAGTCAATTGTAATTGCAGTTAACTACTTGTTAGGCTGCTGCTTTATTGTTTTTGTTTTTTTTTCTTTTTTTTTGGGGTAAAAACTGCATTTTTTTGCAATATTTTCTTTCTTTTTTTTTTATGCCGAGCCGCACAATGCAGGCCTAATCGCAGGATTTTCGCGCGTTTTTCACTAAACCGGAAGTGGCATTAGAGCGCATAACAAGCGAACGGAAGCGTTCGTTAATGCGGCTTTGGCACAAACTGCAATCAATGGCAAATACAGTCAATCAAGCGTTATTTACATTAACAATAACTGGGCATGAAACCGTTGTTGTGCCGACATTTTAGCACCAGCCTTCAATTCAATTTATGCACTGCAAAAAACTAAAAATAAAAAAAAAAAAACTTTACAAATATCAACCATAAATTACAAATGTCAGATTCATTATGCACATGGCGCTGCATATTAATTAGACTGGCGCTCGTTCGTCCTTTACCCAAATATATTTATGACCACTTGATGAACTGCACCCAGTATTTGTATTTGGGGTTGCGAGCATGCTTTCGTCCTGGTTGCCCTCATTTGCATAACAATCAAGTCGTAGCTTGTGGTACAGCCTCAGCTCAGCTACTAGCGCTAATGCTGAGTGAAGGGCTAAAGGATCTCGGGTCCTGGGGGTAGAACTAGCCGGCTCTAATGGTTTTTGTACACAGGCAGCGGGTGTGAAGTTGTAAAGTTTAATGTATTGTTTGTCTAACAGTTTATTCATTTGGAAAAGGAAATTTTGTTGTTATGTGATTGGAATATGAAATATGTATGCATGCAGTTCTTCTGGGGTTGCAAACGGAAATGACATTTTTGGCGGGTTGCCAAACTCTAAATAGGTAAAATCACATCAAATTCGTTGCCGTACAACAGCTCAGGTAAAAACAAAAGACGCGAAAGTCTTTCGTTTGCGCATAAGTAACAAACTTTGTTTGTAACCAAATATTTTATGTCAATTTGATTCATGTGTATCTAATTAGATTTTTGATATACATGTGCTGGCGTTTAAAAATACATAAGCATAATATTTAAATATATCTAGTGCTTACAGGATCTTTAATAATTTGTGTCTTATTAAAAGACAAACGAATACAAATGCAAATTCTTTGCCCTTGTTCTTGAATACTAAATTCATTAAGACCTGCCCTATAAGCATAATATTCCCTATGAAAGTATTTTATCTCAATTCGATTCGTGTGTATCTAAAATGATTTTTGATTTACATGTGTTTACATTTTTTGCGTACCACTCTCGGCTGCTACAATGTGACACAAATCTGCTTAAATTTGACTAAAACCGCTCAGATCGGATTAAAATCGCAATCAAAACTTGCAGCACAGTTTACAGTTTCAACTCGCACGCACACACACACACACACACACAGTCTAATGATTATCCTGAAAGGACGAGCATGCACACAAATGCGACAGATTGGCTTCCTCGGCTCGGCAACAAATGTAACAAAATACTCGAACGGCTGTTTGTTTATCCAATGTTTTTCGGTTAGATGAGCACACAACTCAAGGTAGGACAGCCGAGGACCTATATAAAAGTACCAGTAACACACACACACATATATATATATTTAGATACATATGCATGGCGAACCCCGAACGCTGTTGCAACACAAACAACACAACGTCACAGATTTCACAGATAAACCAATTCGAGCAGGGCAATGAATCGCTAAAAAGGTCGAGCAACTTGCTCGGCTCGACCCGTAAAAAAAATCAACAACAACACCAGAGCGAATTTTGTTTGCCAATCGAAAAAGGGGTAAGCAAAAGGGGCACAAGGTACGATGCCGCACGTGTACCGCAAAAGGGTTAGAATTTTTTATACTCTATGGAAAAGTGTGTCAACGAAATGCATACGAGTTCAATGCTAAAAAGGCGTAAAACAATCAATTCGCCAAATAAAATTCGATTTGCGATTTTGCCATTTTGATATCGGAATCGGAACTGAAATGACAAATTGGCACGTTTATGCTTGAATACGGATTACACGAAATGCTCATAATTTATGCCCGCATATGCCCGATTTTTTAAGACCTTCAAATCAGTTAGTTAATAAAGTATATCATGATATTGGTATAACGATTAAAGGTCATTTAAGTCATAAAAGAGATACTCAAAAAACTTAAAAATATAATTTGGTATATAAAGCTAACTGGTGACAACTTATGAAACTGAATTTACATAAATATAAACTTATTTTTATGTTAAAATGAATATGTGAAAATCTACTTACCCACAAAATTCACGAATATTTTTTATGGACATCTATTAGTATAGATGAAATTCATATATAAAAATAACTGAAAAATCAAAGTAAATAAGAGTTAGAGTATGATCAGCGATCAGCGATGAGTTAAAAGAATATACATAGCTAAGGCATGAAAGCGAGACATAATGGGATTCGTGAGAATCGCAGAGTAGAGCGCTATTTAAAGAACAATTTCTTTCAAGCACCAAGAAACGTTATAAAAAAAAGTAGAAGAAATTAAAATCTTAAAAGAATGAAGATCTGGTTAGACCTAGAAGAAAATATAATATTATTATAATTGTGTTTTATTAGTTATTGGCTGTTTTATAGCCTAGTAAAATGGGACAAACTCTTAAAATGAATTGCAACGTTGCTTTTATTTTATTGTGAACTAAATACGTAATATCTTACATTACAGCCGGAAGCAAAGCTGTTGCTCAGCGAATCGTATATAAATTGTGCCCAAAGGACCTGCACTTGACGCATTCGCATTGTGTTTGCTCCTTGCACCGTGCTGGCAATTTGTTTCCATTTTGGTTTCCTTATCGTCTTACGGCAATCGCCAAATTGTTTTGCCAGCTTCACATAGCATTAGCATAGTCATATAGACAGCAGTTGGGGTGAAGAGGATAGAGCAGGGAGGGGGCTGTAGCTAGACGTACTCGTAATGCCGTTATTGATCCGCCGATAAGCATCTACAGCTACCCCGTAACACAACTGGCCATGGCCATGGATCAGCATGCAGGACGCTAATGATGCCAGCCCGATTTGCCCGAGTCCTTTTGCTCCGTATACCGTCCCCTGTCCCGCGTCTTATGTGCTGGGCTGCCCTCATGCATCCCTCAGCGCCAGTTCTGTGGAATTGAATGCAGCTTAGCAGCTCGCCCGCTGCGTATTTGCGCCTTTGTGACGCACCAGCACAACGGAACAACAGCAATGTCCCGGCTATACTAATGATTATTGTTAAGATAAATCCCGACACCTTCAACAAAGCTGCGCCAAATGACAAACGCGTCGCTTGCCACAGCGGCTTAGTTCATAGGTCTCGGCCTTGGGTCCTTTGAATGTCTTGAGCGAAGTTGCATGCCACATTTTTGCATCTTGTAGCGTTCAAGTCACCATTTTTTATGCACTTGAGTGAAGGGTACTGTAATTTTGTTAGGAAATTCGTAACACAAGGAAGAAGACATTTCCGATTCCAGAGTGTATATATATTCCCTATCAGTATCAACAACCGTGACGCTATACTCCAGTCTCTTACTATGCCAAACTTAGTTCTCAGTATTTAATTGCAGGCAGTACATTTATCGGAATTGCCAGGAACGGACTACTATAGCAAAATATAAATATAGTTCCTGTAAGTAAATTCTTTTGGCTTTTAAGATGTCTTGCATTGGCATCTTAATTTAAATATACTCCTAAAATGATCTTATAGACATCGGACTACTATATCCTACAGCCTAATGGGAAAAATCGGTTACAAAATGATTTTCCATATGAAAAACTTTTCTTCTGTGTCAGCAATTGTGAGTTTCTTTATTCTCCTAATTTGTCAGCCATTCCGTATTTAATCTATCTACTTTATCACAAGGCATCTACAGGAAAACATTTCTTATCCATATTTCTTACAAGGGTATTTTATCTACGGCGTGTCGCAGCCATTCTTCTAGTTTTTTTTTTTTAACGCCCGGGGCGCTTTTCACTTTTCACGTAACGGAAAATGTCAGTCAGTCAGGCAGTCACTCAGTCAGTCAGTATTTCGACTCTTGCCGGTTCATTCAACTAAATAATTTGAGTGGCATTCATGCAGGTCCACTGCCACTTGGCTCATGTTTCAGGATTGTCGGCTGCTGCTGCTGCTGCCGTTGTTGTTGTTGTTGTTGCTGCTGCTGCTGCTTTATATTTTAGGTATTGGTACATTCGTTTTGTACTCGTAATTCTGTGGCAGGTGACGGGCAATCTTCCATTGTTCGACTCACCCCATGTCGAATTGTAAGGGCGCAAAAATGCCCCCTACAATAAACAAGCTGCACACATTAATACACACACACACACACACACACACATACTCGCACACACGCACAGAGCCATTCATTTTATGTGCACTGCAATATACAATATTTATTTGAATTTAAGTCTTTTGTTTGAAATCTGAAATCCGCACACAAATGCAGCTCAGGGTTGTTTGCTTTATGCTGCCCAGAAGGCAGCATTAACTAGACTTGCCTTGACTTTAACAATTTCCATTCTACATAAACAATAGTTTATTCGGGTTTCGGGTTTTTCTTCATCAACTTTATTTAGCAAAAATAAATTGTAATAGTTTACATAAAATTCATCTTAACACGTAATGTATATAGTATATATTAAGCCTGACTTCAAAAATGACTAGCCCTCGTTTATCGCATTGCAATGTTAACCCAACCCAACTAACTAAGCCTGAAACTAAATCTTAGCTAACGCTTAAAACTCGTTAAGCATGTGTGTTAGTAATGGCTAGGCTGCTTTCTTAGTTAGATTGTGTTTATATAAATATATATGGCAAGGTACATGGATGCTCTTACTTAATTTACATGGACAACCGATGTTATTATAAAGCAAATTGTATTAGCCATTAAAAGCCACAAGTGCATTTTATAATATATTCATTAAAAAATGCACTTTTAGTTTTAATAGTCCACTAGCGAGTGCCACAAACAAGCAACCCATTCCAGGCATGCATGAATCAGTAGTGAATTTGCAACTGCATTTCATTTGAACTCTGACATTAAGCAGCGCAAATTGATTTGTCGTTTGTGTTACCCACTAAATGAATTTAATCGTATCGATTATTGAGGCCAGCCAGCTTAGCATGGCCTCAGCAATCAAAATTTTGTGTACACTTATTGCAAAATATCAACTGATTGTTAGCCACAGCGGCAGTGAGACCTGGAAATGTGAGCATGTTGGCCAGCTGCTCTAAGCAAATGACTTTTGATATTTGACTTAAACAAAAGTGAGTCACTAGAGCAGCCAATTCTCAATTCCAATTTCCAGGTGGCAGTGTCGTTATAGTCTGCACATTGTCGAACATATCACCCAGAGAAGACTGACACCATATAGATGCCCGCAAAACTATGCTATACCTGGTGGGTAAACTGTTTGTAGAGTAGCTGTTGATCCTCCTGGTATTCCTTCCAGGGCGGCGTTTGTGTATAGAAGCTACTCTGTTGATGCAGACCCGACTCTGACAATGGCGTTCCATTGGCAGCTGCCTCAAAGTTGCTGCGAAACAGATCGTATTTCTCCTGGGAAAACTGAGCTGAAGCTGTGGGCTGTGGACTAAGCTCCGGCTGCTGCTGCTGCTGCTGTTGTTGTTGTTGGTAGTAGCGCATGCTGCTGCCCAGATCAAAGCCAGGTGGTTGTGCCGTCTGATAATCCACTCCCTGAGCTGGCTGATAGTGCATCGCTGGCGGCGTCTGATGATGCGGCCCATACGGAAAGATGCGCCCGCTGCCAAACATGGGAAACGGCTGCGGATTCACGAAGAGCGCATCGAATAGCTCCTTGGTTATGCGCTCCCCGCTTAGCGTAAAGTTCTGCAGCTTCTCCAAGTCGAGATTGATGGTGTTGCCGCTCTCCAGCACCTGCTCGAGCGCAAAGATGTAGTTGTGCGCAAAGCGCAGTATCTCGATCTTGGTCAGTTTGGTCTCCTCCGGCAGCGAGGGCAGCGTCACGCGCAGCCGTTCCAGCGCATCGTTCAACGTATGCATCCGATTGCGCTCCCGATCGTTGGCCTTCATGCGTCGAAACTTCTTGATGCGCACCACCTGCAGCGGACTGCGCGACCGAGTGACACGATTCTTGCCGACGGCATATTTGCGTTTCGGACGCGGCGCATTCGGATCCTCCGGCGACTTGACCGGCGTGCTCGTCAGCTGCGGCTCAAAGGCGCCCGTCGTTGCGGCGCGACTGTTCAGATGCTCCACCAGGGTGCGGCCACTGCGCGTGCTGTGATTGCTACTGTTGTCCAGCAGACCCACAAAGCCAGCCGTTGCCGCTGGCGGCGAATTCAGCTGCATATCCCAGGCGCCGGCATACATAAGCGGCGCTTGAGCCTGACCCGGCGACGTGCCGCTGGCATTGGCCGTGCTATTGTAGTGCTCCGCAAAGTCCAAACGACGCCGCGCGCTCGCATTCGCAATCGTCTCAAAGCTCTTCTCGTAGCCGCTATCGAATGAGGCATCATCGTCATCATCCTCCTCGAACTCAAACGATTGCGTCGGATTGTAGGCGTTGTAGCAGGCGGCCATGTTGAGCTCGGCGTGGGTAGCTGTGGTTGTCTCTAGCTCTAGCTTTAGCTGTATCTGTGCCGGTCTCTAAATGTCAAACCAGACGCATTACGCTCGCGTATGTGTTTTTTTTTTTTCTTTTGTAGCCTTAACCGTTTCGCGTGCCCGCACCAACTAAAAGCTGAACAGGAGTGCGCACCGGTTTTATGTTCAGCCATTAGCACGGCAGAGCTGCCCAGTAAGCCCGCTGATTTAGGCGGCAACAACCCTCGGCGCATTGTCGTCGGTCGCGACGATGGCGGCGCCATGGCACAAATCCCAAAAGATATGCGCGCCGTGATTGCCGTTCGCTCTAGCCCAGGGGGTTGCTTTACCCACACATACACAGACACGGACACACACACACACACACCAGCAACTACCAGTGCCAGTTAAAACACGAGCATTTTTTACGCCTGAACGTAAGCCAATCGGAAGGATGAGTGCTCTGTCTGTCTGTTTGTCTATCTCGCTGGCCTCGTCTGGCCGCGAGGATCAGCGACAGAGTTCAAAGCGCCGTGCACTTTCTCTTATCAGTGCGCCTTTGTCGCAACATTGATTGTGGCACATCTTGTGCCCACTTAATATCAATTGCAACTCGCAGCTCGCAGCAACTCTTTCTTTTCAGCTTAAACCGCAATAATCATTGCGAGCTTACGCCTGTCGCTAAACGAATTACCGCCACGTGTGCCGACACTTCTGTAAAGATGCCACAAATACTCCCGCCCAGGGCCCACGCGGCGGCACGTGCCACCGAATTGGGCTGGAGAGCTTGTGGCATAAGCCACTTCACAACTGGCTCAAGTGGCTGCATGTGTATAAACGCGAAAGATACACACGCGGTTGGGATTGTGGCTTTAAGTGGCTGCCGCTTGCCGCTTCCCAATTGCCACGTGCAGGTTTGTTATGATATGTGCTCCCATTGCGGGTAAATTGTTGACACGAGTGAGCACTTAATAAATTAATGCCAAAATGACACAATTTTGCTTAATTTAAAGGGCAAAGGATGCTAATTGATCCAATTGCTGACAGTTGCTTGTATTTATGACACTTAAACAACCTAGTTCCGGACCTTACCATCTTGTAAGTAAGTTGGCATAGATACAAATCCATTAGAAAAACAAATAAAATAGAACGTTGCTTCTCGGCACGCCGACTGTTTAAAAATCTAGTAGATATACGGCTGTTGATTATACGGATATGTGAGGAGAATTAATATAACGATAGTTCATTGCTGATTTTATCTTTGGACCGATTCTTTCTATAGAGCTATAGGATATAGCAATACCATATTGATCAGATTTAGCTCATGTATGTTAAACATACTAGAAGTTGCAAAAGCCAAGTCGTGTTGTGCTATCTTGATAAGCAAAAAAGTTTTTTACACAAGAACCTAATTTTCGACCCATCTGTCCTATGGTAGTTATACGATATAGTAAGTCGATATTGATAGGATTTTCCATATATGAAGGAGCATAGTGAAACTATTAAATGCTAAGTTTGGCGCCGATATCTTTGTAAACAAAATAGTTTTCCATACAAGAAGCTACTTCGACCGATCATTCCTATGACAGCTATATAATATAGTCCTGCAACAAGACGATAGCCCCAAAACTGAGAGACTTGTTTGCATAGAAATAGACAGACGAACAGACATAAGTACAGACGGACATGATTATATATACTCGGCTGTTGATCTTGATATATTACTTTATCTGTTTGGAGGCGTCTAATAGAGGCTTTCTTATATATAGCTGTCCTATGCTCATAAGATTTGGCCTACATGCAAGAAACACCCCGGAACTTATAAATGACAAGATTGGTTAAGATATCTTGACATATAAGTAAAATTTGTCATACAAGTTTATTTGCTGCTACAGGAGCACTCTGATATAGTGAGTCGATATGGCCGATTTCGATATATATATGCCCAACAGAAAGACAGACCTATGCAGAGCTTCGTGACAATAGCTTAAAGCCTAAGAGAATAGACTGCCAAACGGACGGACTTGACTAAATTGATTCTGATGGATAAGACTAATCAAGAATATATATGCCTCATGGACTCGGATATCTTTTTCTATACGTTTGCGACAAAATAATAATAGATGTGTACCGATGATATTCATCAAAGGATAGTAAAGGCTTGCGTATATCTACATTTCGCTATATTAAAATGTACCCCAAGCTACATGACTTTTGCAAACTTGAAATCTTTTAAAATAAATTTATAAATAAAAAATTGTTCTAATAAAATAGATATCGGAAGTAAGTAACTCACAAAGTTTCCGTAGATGTGTGATCGCCAATATTTTAGATTTTCTCCTGCGGATTTTAATCCTAGAGAGCCAAAAGTATTTCCATATTGAAATTGTCTCTGAACTCTCTTAAGCTGTTTTTACACTTTTAACATAGTATTGCGCGATCAATATCCGATTAATAGCCGATTTTTACTTGTGTTTTCTGCTAACTTTGTTAATTAAAATATTAATTTATCCATTAAAATGTAGATGTCAATATTAGTTATTGTTTATTTACATTTTTGGTCACACATTTAATACATCTTGAGATTCCCATAGAGACGCCAGGAAACTGTTGATTATTATTGAATTTAGTCAATGGTTTTTAGGATTATCAACGCGGCCTCTAGTCGGATTTATGGTTTTTAACACAATAATAATGTTCGCATCAAAATTCACACCACTCGACACGTGTCCGGCGTGGTGTGTGTTATTTTTGTTGTCAATTTTGTTATTGGTTACGCCCGAAACATCTCAAGTGGCAGCCGCCGACCGGACGCGTGTGGCTAATTGAGGTTTTGTAGTAAGCATAATGCGTATCAATTATACAGTTAATTGAAGTGTGAGCGCTTATTAGGTTTGCATGGAAGTATGTGAATTATTATGGAAGCTGCATTCATTTTCTCAACAATTGTCGCCCAAGACTCACGCTAACGCTGGTTGGCACACACACATACACACACTCACACTTACACTAACACACCCGGTTTAAAGAGCCTCGAGGCAGCGTCACAGTCGCGTTAACCAAATAAAAGCCAACATGGCTTAGTCCCTGTCTGCGGACTTCTGTACATATATAATTTCATCAAACATCCTAACACAGTCCGAGCGTAAGCAAATACACATACACATCAAATATATGCCCCGGGCAAATTGCATTCTAACAAGCGACGCAAATTCAATTTTCCAAGCTGCCTGTATGCCCAATCTCCCTGCCCCTGGTGTGCGTTTACGTACGTGCGTGTGTATGGATGTGTGTGTTTGTGTGTGCGGCATGCAACCCCGACTGCATTCGTTTCAGGCACGTAGCCCCGGGCGAAGCGAGAGACCAAAACAGCACCAGCTAAGCAAATGTCTGCCATCTTCAGAAGGGAACAACTTCCTCTTCATAGAGTGGATCCAATTCCGATGGCACAACCATCACGGGAAAACGGGTCACAGTCACAGGCACTGGCGATACGGACGACGACAGCGAGTCCGATGAGAGCTCTATTACATCCGTATCGCCGGTCACATGCTTGGCCTTCTCTGACTTTAAATGAATGGATTTGCTCTTCGTTTGGATCCACTTATGACCACGTCGTCGTCGATGCAACGTGGCTGGACGTGACGTCTCCTCGGGATCGGTTGAGGTCGACGAGTCGGAAGTAACGTGCTTGAATCGCTTGAATTGCTTAAAGCGCGGCTTGGCCAACATCACTCGCGTCGTCGGTGCGGCCGAATCGGATGTTATATGCACAAAACGTTTCCTACTTTTGCTCGTGCCGCTCTGTAGCTCCGATGTCGGCGTCGAGGCGTTGCTGTCTTCGGTGTGGGTGTGGCTTTGCTTGCTGCTCGACGTGGGTCTGCTGCGATCGCGTTGCATTCTCTTTTCGCGATAGTAGTCAAGAAAATTGGTGCGCTTCACACGCACCCGAAGACCGCGCAACTTTTCAATGTCCTGCAATGTGAGCATGTCCAGACGCACCTCAGCCTGGCGCGTCAAACATTCCTCGACTAGACGTGCATTAACTTGGCTTATTGCTGTGTGCACAGAACCTTCGGATGCCTCTTTGGTTTGGTTGTGATCATCAATGTGGGTTTCGACTCTTGATTCATGCTTGGTTTTGATTCGTTTGCTTGACGATTCCTCGGAGTGTTTCTCTGCTGGTTCCGCCTCTGCTTCAGCTGTTGTCCTCTTCTGTACCTCCTGTATCCCTGCTGACGGCAGTGATTTGGCGGTTGCCTCATCTCTGGTTAGAAACTTTCCTCTGAGCTGCAACACTTCTGTCTCCATTGTAAAATCAGACGTTGGCGCCGGCGGGGGCGTTAACTCTTTACTTACGCCAGATACAGCTTCAGATTGTCCCTCCTCGAACTCGTTGGCGTCGTGCATGGCCATCGTAGATGTTCCAGACTGCAAACTGTCCGCCTCACTGTTGCAACGGCTGCTGGTACGCGCTACTCTGCAGTATTCCATTGATGTTTCCGACTTCTCGAGTGCCCGTGACTGGGTATTATTATCGGCTGTTGTTGCTGTTGTGCTTCGTCTCAGGCCCTGCAAGCTCCTGAACTTGCTCAGCAGCGTATTACTCTCCATAAGCACATTGTCGTCATTTTCTATGCTTATCTGCTCGTCCTTCTCGAAACTCCAAATGTCTGCGAAGGCTTTAAAGCCGCTTGTTTCGTTTGTGTACTTGGCCTGCGACTGCAGCAGCTCACCAAACGAACGCCTCTGTTGGATTGGTGCCTCCAGCGGCGGCTGCGACGTCGTAGCCTCTGGCGCCGTTTGGGGCTTTTCTGATGCTGGTGGTGGCGGTGGTTCCGCTGTCAACTCGGCAACAGCAGTTGCTGTAGGAGCTGCAGGCGAACGACGTCCGCTGCGCATGGTCCTATCCATGTCTGAGATCATGGCATTTGCCATTAGTGCAGCGGCGCGAACGCGAGTGCGTCGCCCTGTGCCTGTGTAATAGGCTTCCGATTCGTCAGATTCCTGTTCCTCCTCCTCTTCATCTTCTGAGACTACTGAAAGGAAAAGTGGGATCATCTAGTTAATCACAAAAAATTGTATTTAGCTTCATGTTTACCCTCCTCCCAGAACTTGGTCGGTATTCGGCAACGCTTTCGATCTTTCTCTACTTTTTCGCGAGCTGCCTTTTGCGCAGCCTCTTCGTCTTCAAGGCTCAATTCAACCTCTGCTTCGGCTGTGCTGACGGCGTTCTCGTAACCCTCTTCGATTGTGCCATAATCTAATTGAGGCCGATTTTTGTACTTTTCATAATCGATTTTCAAAAACTTCAGACCATCATTAGCCTCGGCCATATTTAGAGCCACAAATTTTCGCTTTAGATCTGTGCTTTTCAGCAGGCTGCTGCAGCGTTGGTGCAAAGTGTTCCATTCTAGCGCCCAGGAATATCGTTTGTTGCGTGGTTGGAAGGCCACTGTCAGGAGGTCCTTGAGTATGCTGCGCGGCAAGCGCAGGGTTTGCAGCGCCTTATAGATAGGATCATAGTCGGTTACGGGCGAATTGTGATTTGTGATGGCAACAATTTCATCGACATCTATCGTTGAACTCAACAGCTCGTATTTGATGTGATCCACTTTCTCGGCACGTGCCGCTGCTCTGCTAGAGACTTCATCCTCATCCTTGCGTTTCTTTTTGATGCGCGAACAGCGTTTCACCTCACAGTAACTACTGCGTGTTGGATGCAAATAGAACGCTGTTAACCAAAACTCGGCTTCCATGAAGCCATGCTCCGTAAACACCTTGGCCAAATCGGCATAGTTATCAGAGAGCTTGTGCTCCAGATTCAGCATAAATTGTGTGGTCAGGCCAGGATGATAGCGCCAGACTTCAATTGTGTTGAGCTTCTGGCCAATTATCTTCAGCAGCAGCGCAATCTTGGCGAACTGCCAACCCCTGAATTTCTGCAACAGGAAAAACAGATTAACATGCATTCTGCCTGTATGAACAAAATTAAACAACTTACACGCTGTGCCAGCAAATTGTATACAAACTCCAGAACCTCCTCGTTATTGGGCACATTCTGAAAGACCGGATCTATTTGCCTGTCGAGTTCCTCGTCAACATCCAGCAACGGCTTCTCATCATCGTCGCAGTTCTTATAGTTTCCAATGTTGCTCGCACGATTGCCCTTACAGATCTGCTGTTGGTAGTTCAGATTCAGATTAACCGTGTGTGGCAAGGCGTGACTATTGCGCTGCGCATCCAGCTTCTGCAGTTCATTGAGCAGAAAACGCTCGCTGTTCTCGCGCTCCTCGACATAGCGATGCATCAGCACCTTGAACTGCGCCATGTGCGTCATGAAATCATGTTCATTCAGTGCCATCAGTTCCAGCAGCTGGTTACCCAACACGTAGCTGGTGTAGGCCTCCAGCATAACAGCGAATGACGTGACCAGGCTCAAATTGAAGTTTTTAAACACAATGTATTCAAAGAACCCATCCTTGCCCAGGCCCAGACGCACACAAACCTGGGCAATTAGCCTAGCTGGAGTGTAACCCATAGCCTCCGCATTCGAAGCATCCTGCATGCTTTGCGCATAGAAGCGTATGTTGTACATCTTTAAAAGAGAATACATTGTTAAGAACTGAATACAAATTTGCGTGCCATCTGATTACGCACCATATTATCAATCATATAACCACGATTATCGTCCGCTACAAAAACTGTGAGCAAATAGAGATGTCCCACCAGTATAATAGACCTCTGCTCTGGATGCAAGTTCGCGGTACAGACTCTGGGATTGCACTTCAACCAGGCAGCGAGCACACGCAGTGATAACTGCTTAACGGCTTCCCAGCTGCCGGCATCGAACAGTTTCAGTAGCCGCAGTATAATTAGATGCAGACGCTCCTGCATTAGATATGTTTCATCTGGAAACATAAAGTGCATCAGTTAAAATAACATCAGTAGATTCTATCCAACCATACACACCTTCTGCCGTTGCCGGTTGCACAGCGTGCTCTATCACATGATGTTTATTCTGTAGCAGGTTGGCAAAGAGCTGCTGCAGATAGGGTAGACGCCAGGGATTGACTTGGAAGTTGAGTAAATACTGCCAATCGATATCGCATAGTCCCTTAATCTTGCTGAACGCCCTATAACCTTTGCTCAAATAGTACAACAGCATGCGTTTTAGACTCTCAGAGCTGCCCATCCATTCCTGGCTAAACCACAAATGCAGCGTGTGATGCGCCAGCACACGGACAATGTGGCCGAGCTCCTCTGTGATGCACTCGCGTGTGTGCAGTCGGCACACATCCCAGCCGTAGATTAATTGCAGGATGCGGTCATCTGGTATCAGCTGGTAGACATCGACATCGCTGTAGTTCGCAAAGAACACAAACATTTTCTACCACAAACAAAAGTAGCCATAGGAGAAAGATCGAAGTGAAAATTTTTTTTTTACTTACCGCGTTGAACTCGTCATATTGTATTTGCGAGGCGCAGTCAAGAAACTTTTGTTCATTATACTGCTCAGGCAATATAATGTCCATGGCGAGCACTTTTCATCAAAACGTTCACATATATAAATTAGTTTTTAACAAAATATTAAGCACTTTTCTCCATTTTTCAGCCGGTTTGCATGTCATCTAGAGATGCGAGTCCATAATCTAGATATGTGCTGTGGTAACTTATCGATAAAAAGCATGCGTGCTATAGCAGCGAGCTCTTGCAAGTGTGCAAGGTGCGGCAATTTAAAAAATAAGACAGAGTCAATTTAAAATCGATTTGTAATTGCATTGATAAAAACTAATTTTAAAATTCAAATAGTTATGAATTGTGTAAGCTATTCGATTTATGCATGAAAGTACTTGACAATGCAATATTGAATGATTGAAAATGTCATAAATGCTATTCAATAGTAATATCTACGCACATATTCATAAGAATCTGCATCCCACATTCTGATTGGTTTCTGCTGCCAGCTGGCATATGCAAAGTGCAAACAAATTATTATTAGCTGCCAACAGCGTCTACTACTTCATCTTACAATGAAAGCGCCAAGGGTATTCCTATAGAAATGTGTCCTTTCTAAAGAGTGTAAATATGTTTGTGTGCGGGGTCAACAGTTGGTTGGTCAACAAGCGGGGCTTCAACGCGTGCAACAGTGCAAAGCTGCTGCAACTGCTGCAAAAGCCAATGTATTAAAGTCCATTGTAGAGATTTTTAGTTAATGGCTTAATTTCATCATGTATTTAGGGTAGCAGCAATTAGGCCAAAGCCAAATAATATTTTCCATGTAAATGATTTACAATTGCCGCACTCGAAGAGCAGCAACAACAAAAATCAAAAAACACACCAAAAAGCAAAACATAAAAAAACACATGTAGCTGTCTACAGCCAGATAACATTATTCCGTACCAATTTATCAGTGGCAAAATCAATTAGTAACTACGTAAGGGCCTTATCAATAAAGCGACGAGCGCTTTGCCATGTTCGGTGTGCTCCCTGCATAACCCATTCATTATACGCACCGGTAGCATTGGCAGTGTCATAAATATTCCCATCATCGTTTATTTGGCGTCCTCAACCGGAGTGGCTATCAAATGGCACAAATGAAAACCTGTTGATATCCAAAAGACAGACACACACACACACAGGCACACACAGGCACATACACAGTCGCACACCTGTCTGTATCAAAGGTTGCGTTCATGTCGTAATTGAAGAAGCATTTTTGAAAGGGAATTGAAGTGTTGCAAGAAGAAAAAAAGAAAATAACGGAGGAAAGAAAGAAAGCAACGGCTCTCGCGTTCATAAATATTCATGAAGCTCTAAAAGGGTTTTTACTTGTGCCAGATGCTTAGGTGATGTCCCTGTCCCGGGCCACACGTGCAGCGTCAATTGAACCCAAATGGAAAAAAAATTGTATTCGAAGCGACCAAGAAATGCAATTGCATTTGCCAACGTTGAGTGGCAGCGCGTTTTCGGGCACAAGCCATGCTAAATATTAAAGGTCAGCATGGGCGTTGGCTTAGCCCAAGCACATAGGGGCTGAGGTAAGGTTGAGGTGCTAACGAAATCAAATGGAGCATGCATATGAATTTGAATGAGTCCAAGCGCGCGTGTGTGTGTGTGTGTGTGTGTGCGTGTGTGTTTGTCGCATTTCCCGGGGGAAGGCAAATAAACATTGCAAAGGCGCGCATGTGTGCCAACAACTTCAGCACTTCGTTAAGCGGGACAATGGGCATGGACAGCGGGACAGCGGGACGGGCTGCCCCGCTAAGTAGGCAACAGTTTTCGGGCACTTCCGTCGCTGCAACCGCCAACTGGCCACAATGGCTGCTCTGCTGCCCTGACAGCCCATTGTGTCTAACTGTGTGCGTATCTGGTTCGTGCGCTCGTACGCTCGTGTCTGCCACGATTCGCTTCCGTTTTGATTTATAAACGACCGTCGCGACCGTGCTGCGTATCATTAACAGTTGATCAACAGGTTTGCGCAGACATCCCGGCAACAGAACAGTCGCTAACCCAGTCGCAATCCGTTGCAGTGCAGCACCAGTCGGCCTATTTGTCCACTAATTGAATTCCAGCGGCACCACAAATTCAGTTATAAAAGTCATTTCACGTGCATTACTCACAAATATATATATATATATATAGAAAAAAGCAGCTACGAAAAAAAGGGACGCGCGCGTATGCAGATTCGCGAGGCGAACACAGAAACGGAACCAAAAGCACATTTCCTGTTATTCAAATACAATAAAATAACTACAGACAGGTGAGTTGATTGTGATAAAAGGGCATTTTTGTGCAGGTGCCAATGCTTAACGAAATTTCTATTTAATGAATTTACTAGTCGGTGTTTGAGAATGTTGAGTACAAATATTTTATCTTTAAATAATATTAGATTAGAAAAGCAAAACACAATTTAAGTCCCCTTCTTTGTGCACTTGGGCAGAGTACAAATATTATTAAACTTAATAAATTATATTTAGAAGGAAAACTTTCTTAGCATGTTTTTTGGTGCATGTGGAAATTGCATACCAACAAAATATTTAATATAATATTTCGGAATAAAATTAATACAAAATTAATATTCAATAGGTGCTTAAAAATGCTAAGAAACTTTTTCTAAATGTTCATTTTAATTTTCCCTTATAATATATTATATAAATTATATAATAGAAAATTCTTTTTGAGCATCGAACTAGAGGAAAAGCTACTTAGTTAAAGTTAAAATAAAGAAAAACAATTCTTGAGCGTCAATTTTGAAAATAAATAGTTTTTTGCGAAGGAAGATATGAGTAAGAAGTATATAATATTTATTACATAATAATATTACATAATATAATAACAATAGCTAATATTTCATTTTTTTTTTAAATTATATATTATTATATTTTATAAGCTTCCATTCCAATTATTGCTTAAAAACCATTTTCACTTTTCGCTGCTCTCAGAAAATCAAGTGAAAAATTGAGAAATTATTTTCAAAATATTTAAATTTATTTTCTACGCGCTTCTCACATGCACAAAAAAAAAAAACAATTGATTGAACTGAATTTACTTAGGCATTAGCCCAGTGGAGCCCACTTCAAATATTTAAAGCTGCCATCAGGCGGTTGGGGTAAATATGTTTACCACTTTATAATAGACGAGTTTTTGTTGGCTTAAACAAACGCCGAGCGCATTAGAAATTGAATTATTAGGCAGTCAAAAGATGAAGGCATCAGCGCCAGTCCTGCCAGCATAACATATGCACTGCCAGCAGATCTTGGGATCTTGAAGGAGAGCAGGCGGACAGATTGGGTTTATGCTAAATAGAACAGAACCCAAGCTGAGCATACCCAAAAATTCTGTGCACTCGATGGCAAATTTATTTGCACTTCTGTGGATATTTTGTTTATTCACGAGTTTTCGGCTCGTGTTGTGGCTCATGATTTTCATTCAAATGACACTCGTCGAACGTGAGACGTGGGAGGACGCATTGGCACTGGATGCCTATTTAAACAAAATACTTATAGGCGAATGGCAGCCTTTGGCAAATATTGGCGTTAGAGCCTGCTTGAGTAGAAGGCGCTATGAAAAAGAAATACACGCCTCCGTCAAAATGTTTAATGTTTCGCGAAATGCGTTGTATATATACATTGGGCGTATATATACATATATATTTAGGGAGCTGTTGTTAAGGATGTGCTCGGTGGCCCAAAAGTACCTGTACTTGTCACCGTGCGACAGGGCCATGAATAATGCCTGGACAGGCACAGAGCTGCTGAATAATAGAGGGACTCGACACGAGTTGACTTGGCACGGGAATTCGATCTGGCCCGCATTCGCAATGCGCTGGCATGTCAGCCTTTAACACAGCCATAAATATTTTCAGTTAATTTCAATTACAAGCTGTGCGAAACGTGCTGCTGCTTTTGGCCTGGCTTTGGCCCGGTTTTGTGTGTGGTCATAAAATTTGATGCGTGCCCTATCGAAGCGATGGTGCTATCTATTATAATTTAACGCAAAGCCGCTAAAACTTTCATCTGGGCGTCAATCAATCAACGACAAGCGCACAAATTAAATGCAAAGTAAGACAACATAAAACCAGCCAAACGAACAATCAGTCAAGAGTCAAGCGCCAGGAGATTGGCCAACTGCAATTGCCACACCGCCTGCCGCCAATTAACTTTCCAATTCTCAGCTCCCATATAAAGCAACAAAGTGGTAGCATCATCAAATCGCCGCCCATCCAGATAAGATACCACTAAAGCCGCCAACACGGCAACCCCATCTGGTCGCGCGCACGCCTCCTCCCTAGTCTGGACTATTAACTGCTTTCGACTTTTGTGGCCTGTAATGATTCATATTTTTTTTTCGTCCTCTCAAAAAGCATTTCTGTGTTGGCGGCTTACATTTGTAACGGGCTTAATTAGCCCGCCAAAGGATATGGCAAATGTTGTCCAAATTCAGTTGGCATCAACTTTTCAGAGATTCGCAAAGAGCGCAGCGCAGGGCCATGCCAATTTTCAAAAGGTCACTCGATAAATATCATTCTTTAATTTCAAAATACAATCAAAGTGTTTTCATTGCTTTATTTAAACAAACTAAAATACTAAACAGCGATTAGCTTTGGCATGTCGAAAATGGAATAATCTTATAGAATTAAGACATAGGAATAATTTTATGATTCCTGTTAAAGTCCTGCGAGAAAGTAAACTGATTAAATAGAGTGTTGTGTACATGAGCTTGATCAAACGTTTTTGAGCAATTCTATAAAGAGAGAAAGAGAGAGAAAGAGGAGAGAGTGAGAGAGAGAGCGAGAGAGATGATATGAAAAAATATTGCCTATATGTAGGATAACTTTTCTTGAAGAACAGAAAGGTTTTCCATGCAAGAACTAATATTTCGAGCGATTCCATATATATAGACAGAGATGATATAATAGTCCAGATCTCTTGAAAAACATAAATATTTGTCAGACTAGGACTTAACCTTTGCTAGAACTTAAGAGTCACTTGTATAATGTGGGTTAAGTTGACAGAAAAGAGCATCTAAAGTGCTCGTAATTTATTTGCTGTAGAGTATACGCGTACACAAATGCCCTGCAACTGAGTTCTCTTGCTGTACACTTAGCTGTTAAGCGATTATGTATTTCATATCCATGCAAACGCATAAGTTGAACCTCTTTAGCGTCAAGTGCGAACAGAATGTGAAGCCGCTTAGCGTCACATTGTCTTTTCTGGCCAAGTGTTGCTTGGCGGAGGGCGTTGCGGTTGTGGTAATAGTGGCCGCAAGTGCAATTCGCAGCCACTTAAGCTGTTGAGCAAACATAAGCTTTGCTATCATTATATCGTTTTAAGGCGCGATGAGTGCACGCACACATGTGCAGCTCGTAAGGAGCTGCAAGTCGTGCGTACTACGTGGCGTATGCGTATTATCAACGCACTTGTTACCGCCTGCCGCGAGCTACCTCAGCAACTTGCATGAGCAACAGCAACACATTAATAGGCCATAAATTGTAACTGTTATGCGTTGTTGGCTTTTAACGCAGCAGGCTGGCATTCGGCCTGACACTGAACTTTTTGGCCACCGTCGGGAGTTGAGTGCCGCCCGGCCCGGCCTGGCCGCCCCATTGCCTTTCAATTAGAGTGGTTATTTAGCTAAATCGTTACGCTTGTTGCTGTAATTTGAGTCGTGGGCGGAAATGATTGCCAGCACACCGAAAGCAAAAAAAAAAAAAATAATAAAACAAAGCATTGCGATGAGCACACGCAGTGCCCCCTGGGAGAATGCGCAATGCGGCTTTAACTTATACACTTTTTAAATTGTTTCCACTTTTTCTCTGTTTTTTTTTTGCTCTTTGCCAGGACAATGAAGAGCTGCGTCTGTGGTGGGACACACGGCATGGCCCTGCTGCTGCTGCTGCTGCTGTTCTGGTGCCGCACCAGCTGCAGTCAGGCCGCAGCCGGCGGCGGCAACAACAATGAGCTGGCCGCCACAGGTCTGTCCGACCAGGTGCTGGAGCAGCTGGACGACAATGAGCTCTACGGCAACAACAAGCGCGCCTGGCAGTCGCTGCAGAGCGCCTGGGGCAAGCGCTCCAATGAGCCGCGTCCTCTCGAAGTGGATGACTCCATATACATGACGGGACACTTTGTGCCGCTGGTCATAACCGACGGCACCAACACCATTGACTGGAACACCTTTGAGCGGCTGGCCAGTGGCAATCAGGAGCAGCAGCAGCTGCAGCGGCAACAGCAGCCGGCACAGTCCAATGAGGAGTCGGAAGATGTGAGCGCTGAGAACACAATCGATAAGCGAGCCTGGAAGAACATGAACGTGGCCTGGGGCAAGCGACGACAGGCACAGGGCTGGAACAAGTTCCGTGGTGCCTGGGGCAAGCGCGAGCCCACCTGGAACAATCTGAAGGGCATGTGGGGCAAGCGCGATCAATGGCAGAAGCTGCACGCGGGCTGGGGCAAGCGCTCGCTGGCCAACTAAGCCCACAGCTCCGATCAGTCGATATAGGCAAATAGAAACATGGAGACAAACAAACATAATATATGATATAACTAGCAAAACCTAACTGTGTATAACAATATCTATATATATATAACATATAAAATGAACTAGTACGTGCAACTCTTTTCCCATTGAGATTCTCGCTGTTCTAAGATCCTTGTGGCAGGAAGTGGAGGTCAATTCCGAAAATGTATGAAAGCGCTCGCCAGCAACCAAAAACAAATACGTTTAAAATCAAAAAGAAACTTTAAACTAAATTATAATGAAAGCATTTGTAATTTGCATATGTACTTGTGTATTCAAATATGTGTTTTCGTTAGTCCAGTATTATAAAAATAACCAAGCATTAACTATATGCTAGCCGAGCTACCCGAGCTAGTCGTATATAGAGAGTGGTATATATACACACATTTCTGTGCAATCTAGAAAACTTAAATTTAGTTTAACGAATTGTGCATATTTTTTAAATACGTATACATACCAAAGCATACCAAATGGCAATTACTATATATATATATATATATAAATTCAATTATCAAAATAAATTAAAGAAAATCATTCAATTTATTGCTCTAAATTTATTATTAATTTTATTAGTAATTTATTTAATCGAGCTCGGGCTCGTGTCAAAAACTGAATGTACTCCGAAGAGCAATAGCTATTTTAATTTGCTCTTGATATCCCATCGAAGGACTTTCTAAAGTCGCTTTGAGGTTTGAAGTTTATGCGTATAAGCTTTTTATACTCTTGTTTGGAAAGGAACATCCCTACCCGGTGCCTGACTTAAGGCCATGCCAATAAAACGGAGTCGGCCAGATCGGATCCTGTTATCATAGAACTATTATGAAAATAATCGGTAAAGAAGGAAGTTCTTAAGATTAGGGTCTTTTAAAGACCTGTTTAGTACAAATTTATTACTAAGCTGGGGTCAATACTGGTTTGGTTAGCCTTGTCGCTTTTTTTCTTATAATTCTCAAGTGGTTATAGCTTCAGACTCAGGATAAGGCCTCGTAAGTCCAGAATTATTTGTATATGGAAACAGCATAATTATTTTAATATCGTTCAAACTCAGTAAGTACAAGCATTACCATGTATATCAAGCCGGTCTGCTATATCCTATATCGCCTATAGAAACAATCGGTGGAATATAAAGCTTCTCTCTCATTTGGCTCTTAGGGTATTAAATCTTCGACTTTTGCTGAAAACTAACAAATAAATTAAAAGTTTGTAAGAGAAATTAACGAAACGTTCTTAAATTTTAATTCATTAATTAGTTTGCCTGCCACCTGGCATTAATAATAAATACAACAAATATTGTTTATTGTTTTCATGACCATTTCAAAGCAAATGTTAAATATGAATACGAATCGTGAATAATGAATGTCTATTTAAGTGCAATTTAGTTCTCAACAGTAATTAAATCCTTATTAGTTAGTTTGTCAGGTATAAATACAGGTGTAAACGTGTCTTGAGTGGATCACAGTCCATTCGGAAAGGACAGCTCCACCATGCGCTATCAGCCACGACTCCGGGATGGAAAGGCGGCGCCGTTGCCCTGGCCGCTGGCCATGTATCGTCGCCTCAATCATATTGCCTGGCCGCTGGAGGATGGGGCCAGTCGGCGTATGGTGTTCATAGAGCGGCTGCTAATCTTTGTCGGATTTATCATATTCTGTGAGCACAACGAGGTGGACATGCATTATGTGCTGGCCTATCGCAACGATATTGATAAGATGCTGACGGGTGTGCCGACATATTTGGTGCTGTTCGAGATGCAGATACGCGGCTTTCAGCTGGCCGCCACGAAGGATTCGTTCAAGCAGCTGCTGCAGAAATTCTATGCAGACATCTATGTGAGCCAGGAAACGGAGCCAGTGAGATTTGCACGCATCCAACGTCAGATGCTGGGCACGCGTCTCAACTCAGTGGTTTATTTAATGGCACTGTTCAATTTCTCGCTGGTGCCCGTGCAGAATGTTATCTACCATCGACGAGAGATGCTCTATCAGCAGGTTTATTTCTTTGACAATACAAAGCTGCAGTACTATATACCCCTGATCTGTGCCAACTACTGGGTGGGCATTATAATTACAACGATGATCTTTGGCGAGCTGAATATTCTGGGCGAGCTGATGATGCATCTGAATGCACGCTACGAGCTGCTCGGCCGGGATCTGAAGCAGGTGGCCAAGGCGCTGCTGTTGCACGGACATCCAGCTAAAATAGCAGCTCAGTATCGTTGTGCACTCATCGAGATATTGCGGCGAAATGCTGCTTTGAATCGCTTTGGCCAGCAAATGGAGCTGGAATTCAGTTTTCGCATATTTATAATGTTTGCGTTCAGCGCTGCGCTACTCTGTGCCATGGGCTTCAAGGCTTATACGGTGGGTATAAAATACAAAATGATTAAGGCCAACACTTACACTTCTTTCTCTAGAATCCAGCGGGTAATATTGTGTATATCGTTTGGTTTACAGCCAAATTCTGTGAGCTGCTCGCCTTGGGCATGCTCGGCTCGATTCTTTATGCAACGGTGCGTTCCGCTTGGCCTGCTTTATACTTAATATTTGATTTTATCGAATTGTTTTCACAGACGGATCAATTAAGTGTCATGTACTACTGCTGTGACTGGGAGCAGGTGATCTACAAGTCGAGCAATGCTCAAGAAAATGTGAAACTCATGAAGCTAGTCACAATGGCCATCGAGATTAACTCCCGTCCATTTTACCTAACTGGCCTAAAGTATTTTCGCGTTACGCTGGTCGCTGTACTAAAAGTAATTTACAAAGCTCTTTGAAGGCTTCTTTTAATTAGTGCTTTAAACTTTCAGATAATACAAGGTGCTTTCTCGTACTTTACGTTTCTAACTTCGATGCGTTAAGGCCCATCGCATACATTTCAAATTCAACATTTGGCGCGCGCCACATATGGTTTCATAGCAGCCAGCTTTGCAAGAATAATGCAATTGTAGAGTGACCACACGCACAGCATATCGATAAAATAGAAATATATTAAATAAAATATTTTTGATATGTACACACTTCTTAAGTCCGCCAAATTACGGCATTATATTTTAGGAAATACGCCTTGTTATATTTGCCTTAAAACATGAATTTCTCTAGCAATAAATGGTAAAGTACAGTGAATTAATAACTAAAACATGATTATGTATACGGCTTAATTAATTGCAGCTCGCCAAATTATCGCAGTCCCGTCGCACAGCCCAGACAAAACTCGCAAATGTCTCGTGTCAATGTGCGCGAGAGCTTGGAGCTGCGGCGACGGCGTGCTGAGGCCAAAAACTATTTGAAATGGGGCTTCATCAACATAATCATGATGGCATTGATATCATTTGATCTCTGGCAGACATGCCTCTCGGCCAGAACCACCTTCTGGTACCAGGCGGAGTACACACTCGCCGTGTGCGTCTTCATGAGCGCCGCCGCCTGCATCGGCAAGTACATCTGGTGGCTGATGATGGACAGCGGCCCGGTTTGTGTTACGGAGCTGCAGCGCTGTCTGCTGGACGAAGGCAATGGTAAGCGATTGCATTTATGTATGACTTTATTTTTGGTAGCATTAAGTGCATTCTGAACACTTGGTTCAACTCTGCTCCTCACTGGGCCAACGGGATTTGTTGCAATTCGCTCTCAGCCTTTTTTATAAGTGAATAAACCACTTGAACGTGCCATGAAGTTCTCACTGGAACACACAATTTACAGATCTTTCCACTGAGTTTCTATTCCCTCGCCTTAAAGCTCTCATTTCTTAAATCTCAAAGATCTGACATACCATCTGAGGATGGAATATGGGTCAGCTCCATATGGAAAAGGAAACTTAAAGCACTTCATCTAGGATTAGTAGAAAAGCTTATTTCAAAAATGTCGATTCTCAAATGTGAAGGATCTAACACCAGCTCTTCTCTTGGTTTGCTTAAAACTGGACAATCCTTAAGATTATTCTCTGGACTTGACATTGGAAATTGGAACTCTTTGCCCACTCGCAATTTATGCAGAAACGCAGTGCATTTCCCTGCCATCAAAGATTCACTTATAACATATGGATCAAAACCCTCCCTGAAACAATCGTTCGCTCTCAAGGCAACATCGGCAAATTCCTCTTGAATAGCCTGTGATATTCCGAATTTAGTTTTAGCTTATGTCCAGATATTTTTCGGTTCGTTTCATTGCACATGCAGTCCAGGAGCTTTTGGTTATTTCTGATCCAGCATTACTTGCTTACTATCTGCGTTTCCTCTCAAGCATCTTAGTTTTCTTTAACACGGCCCGAGACCAAAAAATGGTTCGGGATCGCAGAGGACCAACAAATAGTTCATCTAAAAGTCCAGCCCAGCTCATTCTGGAAGCCGATGCACCATCCTTTTAACTCAGACATGACCCTTGTTCAAGATGTCCTTATAAACGCAGTCTCGCTTCAAGTTAAAGATGCACAGCTCCCTGGGAAACACTAGCATACAATGAAATCTTTATTATGCATTCAGATAATACATTCAAGACTGTGAACAATATGTCGAAGCCACGCGCCTACGAACCGAATTGTGATGAATTGGATACGGGACCCATAATCAACTGGCATTCTTCGTTTGAGGACTCACGCTGGGGCACGCAGTCACCACGTCGCAGTCCTAGTCCGATGCGCACGCCGCACCAGCAACAGAAGCACCAGCAGCAACAGCAGTTCAACAATCAATCCTTTCACAATCAATCTTACAATAATCAATCGTATAATCGATCCATGGGCGCGAATAACTCACTGAACACCAGTAATGTGAGCAATGAGTCTGTCTATATGTCGCCCTACGCGGAAGTTTGTCGTGACGATTTTCCAACCGATGTGCGCAAGCTGCCGGCACTGATGAGACGAGCAGAACGGGAACGCGAACGCAGCTATGCCGAGCTGGCCGATACATCAAATATGCAGACCATGGATTCGGGAAACTCATTTTGGAATTACTGCAATAATGCGGCGTATATGCTGAAACGAACCATCTATCAGCTGGCACCGGCGCCTGTAGCCTCCACAGAGAATGCGCCCTCTTCGATTGAGGATTTTGGGTTTCTTCAGTTCAGGGATAGCAACTCAGAGGTCATCAAGCGCATCTCGACGGTCAAGTTGTCGCAATACTTAAGCAATCTGCGTTATGTAAGTGCCGGGAGCTTACCTAAATGAGCCAGGATTTTAATATTCTTTGATATTAGTGGATATCCACAACCATATTGCAGCGCCTAGTCAAGCAGATCGATCATATGGACGAAGTGTTCCGTCAGCGCGGCCTAAGCGATTTTAAGATCGGCGCCGTCGGTCTGGAGCGTTTGCGCAAAATGGCAGAGAACCAACAGTTTGTGCAGAGCTGTGCACCCATGCTGCCGCTACTGCTGCCCTTTTTGGACACCTTCAGCAACCAGGAGTATCTGGTGCAGCGCATTAGGGATCTATCGCAGGGCTCCTGCATTGGCGACTACCGCTGGAATTCGGGCAATGCACACAACGGACAGGTGTGGGGCGAGCATCTGCCCACGGACGCTGCAGTGAGTGCGACATCATCCTGGAATCTGCAATATAATCAAATGTCACCTGCCCATTCTAGATATTGTTTCATTTGTTCTGCGTCTACTTGGACAGCCAATTGATGCCCCTGCCACAGGGTGGCGGACGGCCATTCCACTCGCGCTATGTGCTCATACGCGAGGAGAAACGCTCCACCAAGGACATAATAAATGCGGTTAATAACAAAGCACACTGCGCCATACTCGTGACCAACAATCAACTGAAGCCCAAATTTAATTTCATCAGCGAAAAGGAGCTGCACAATTGCGCCTACGATCGCAACAATTTGTTTTATGTTATCATACAGTTTTTGATTTATATGCGCACACACCAGGAATCGGCACTCGAGGGTGTTAACTTGGGCAAGAGCGGCATCAATATAATGTGCGTAATCGAAGAATGAGGCAGCGAGAAAAATTGACTTGGCCATAAAGCAATGGCCGCCACGCTTATTATATATATTTTAATTTCTAACGTTTATTGTTACTCGATGGCCCGACTAGCCATAACATATATTGAGCTATTAAATTATGCATTGTAATTATTAAGTCAATTGCCAAGACAACACATGCACATCAAATTGTAAACATGTACGCGGTTTTTGCGGTCACAACAGTTGCGGCTATCCACTGCTCCTCGCTGCTGGCCGCAATGCATCATCATCAAAGTGTCATGTGAACTTTTGAGCATGCACCATCCGTTATTGCTCGTGGTGTAATGGTTGTTGTTCTTCTTGTTGTTGTTGTTGTTGTTGTTGTACTTGCGGTCACTGCGGTCTGCGCTTTGCCAACAATTAACTTATGCCTCGAACGTCGCCGAAGTCAGCCGGACAAATGCCGCAACACACACACACACACACACCAAAACGGGAATGTGTGTGTGGGCGCTTGGGCCTGACCCATCGCGCAGGTGCACAACTTTAATTGCATTTTCATGATTTTCAATATTGTGCTGGTCAATGGCCGTTACACCAAACAGGACACCGGCACGTAGAGAGCAGCACTGACTACGACTGCGGCTCATGTGCTGCAGCAGCTCCAGAGTGACAAAATTAATGGCTTCCGGCAATGAGTGTCGTCATTTTGTTGAGCTTGAGAAAAGCGTTGAGAAAATGCTGCTCCTTGGCCAACAACAGCTGGCATCATGTGCAACTGGAAGTGGAGCTAGCCAGGCGTGCGAATGAAGGAGCTGGGCCAACACACACTCACACACACACACACAATATGAACTCGTTGACTACCTCCGGCTGCATACACTTAAGTCTGTCTTTGGCTTTGGAGTCGCCTGCTCGGGCGCGGACAGAGGAGCGCATTACCATTTTTCTTGGCCATGCCCATTTCAGGCAACGCGCTCCGGTTGCTGTTTTCTGTTTCAGCTCTTTGTTCATTTGACGTTGAATCGCTTGGTTGGTTATTTTAATGCCGTCGTTGTAGCTGGCACCTCGGGTGAGTAATGTGCTTGGGTTGTCAACTTTACACTTTTATCCCTCGCATTATATTTGCTTTACCTACACACACACACACACACCCTCGCCTCGGTTGGGTGATATGTTTTCTTGATACTTTTTCTCAAGTTGTAAATTGGCTTAAAAATAATTTGTCAAAGCATTTCAGCGTACACGGCGCTGGGGTTCGGTGTCTCATGCGACGCCTATGGAACTGCTGCTGCTGCTCCTGTCGCTCGCCATTTTCTTTGCCAAATTGTGTGTCGGACGCCGTTTCGTGAGACGTTTGAAATTTCTTTTTAAGGAAACGCATGTGCGCTTCTTCATATCCAATTAGAAAAGTTTTCCTTCGACTGCACCGTAATTGTGTTGATTAGTGCGGCTCGCTGGCTTCCCACACAGGCAGCAGATGGATTTCAGCTCTGGTCCGATGCCCGTCTGTCTGTGAACACTTTAAAAGAACTGAACGCCTTTCGATTGGTACATTCAATAGGCTATATACCTTGCCCCTTGCTACGGCTGCTTACACAAGCTTCGATCGAATATTATTCGGCCAGTCACTTAGTGGGGGCTAAGCTCCTGCCCAGAAAAAAAAAAAAACATGCTGCCATCCTCCACGCTGTCCTGGCGTCGCTTTAGTCCTGCAAATGTTTGTACACAATAAACTGGCTAGTGGCAAAGCTTTTACTTTTCGGCTTTCCTTTTTTTTTTGCTGCTTATTTATTTTTACTTTCGTATGCCCTGTAATTCGAACTTGGCAAGGGTATAAAAACCTAGCTATGTGTGTGTGCCTATTAAGTGGAAGATAAAAGAGGGCTGTTCAGCATTGTGCGCCAGGACCTTTAGTAATAATATATTAAATAACTGGG